CACCTTCAGCTTGGACGAAGTCCGGGGAAAGAAAATTATTGACTCGAACACGGAAATGTCTGTCCAGTTAAAAGTTCTTAAGGAAGGATGGTAGATTGCCTCGGAGACCCAAGGAGTGGGCCCGGGCCAAATATTATACCTCCAAGTTGTGTCATATGCCTTCTCAAGGTCAAAAATATGGCAATAACCGAGTGATTTTTTCGCAAAGGCATTACGAACATACGTATCCAAGCGTAGTAAGGGGTCTATGGTAGACGACCCTTACGAAAGCCATATTGACTAGAGGAGGACTGTTGTGTCTCTAAATACCAATTAAACGTCGATTTACGAGACGTTCCATCACTTTGCAAATTGCACTAGTAAGAGCGATGGGGCGATAGTGGGGGGCATCATGTCCTGTAGTACCCGGTTTGCGGAAAGGGAGAACAATGGCAGATTTCCACAGCTGGGGAAAACTCCTTGTGCCCAAATAAGATTGAAGAGGTGTAAGAGGACTACAAGGGCTTACCCATGTAAATGTTGTACATACGAATATGAATGTCGTCAGGCCCAGCTGCCCATGATCGGCAAGTGAGAGCGTTGCCTCCAGTTCTTGAAGTGTAAAAGGCACATTATACTGTTCTTCTCTGAGAGAAGAAAAGTCCAAGGGTACTAACTCTCTGGCAGACTTTGAGGAAAGAAACGAGGGGCATAGATGGAGCCCCGGGAATACGGACCAGATGTGTGCCAAGTTCAATGGCAACGTCGAGAGGGTTTGCTACATCAACACCAGCGACCTGTAGAACAGGAGCCGGTTCAGGAGAGTATTTACCACTCAATTTCCTCACTTTTTTCCAGACTGCACTCATAGAAGAAGCAGAGGTGATGGTGGAAACATAGTCCCGCCAGCAAGTGCGTTTAGCTTCACGGATGACACGGCGAGCGATCGCACGCTTCTGCTTAAAATCAAGAAGTCTCTCAGCGGTTCTATTGTACCGGTACCTGCCCCATGCAGCGTGTTTCAAACGTACTGCACGAGCACAAGCAGGAGACCACCAAGGCATGCACTTCTGAGAATGCCTGCCTGAGGTTTGGGGTATAGAATGAGAAGCTGCGGTATAAACTGACGTCGAGAAGAGGTGTAGGAGCTCATCAATGGAGGATGAAGAAGGAACCTCACTAAAAGCAGTGAGTTGCGAGTAAAGATCCCAATTTGCCTGATCAAATTGCCAGTGAGAGTTATGGAAAGGTGGTGAATAGGAAGGAGAAGAAAGAATGATTGGAAAATGATCGCTGTCATGTAAGTCCGGTAGAACAGACCAGGTGAAGTCTAGTGCAGTGGAGGAACAGAAGACGGATAGATCGATGCAAAAGAGAGTATGAGTAAGAGGATAAAAATGGGTGGGAGTACCTGTATTTAAAACATGTAGGGGGTGAGAGGCGAGAAAAGCCTCCAACTGGATGCCACGTGAGTCACAATGAGACCCCTCCCAGAGGAAATGGTGGGCGTTAAAATCACCAAGTAACAGAAGTGGTGGTGGTAAGGATGAAACAAGAAAGGCAAAGTCTGGGATAGAAAATGCTCGAGAAGGAGAGAGATATAAAGAACATATTGTAAACCACTTATTCAAGTGGATACGGGCTGCAGTGTAATGCAGCGAGGTATGGATAAATAGTTGACAGTACGGAATATCATTGCGTAGAAGAAGGGCACTTTCATTGAAGGTCCCATCTGAGAAAGGATCCGAAGAATACAATAAATTATAGCCCGAGATAGGTTGGAAAACAGCCGAATGTAATTTTGGTTCTTGTAAACAAGCACCAACAGGGGAAAACCTGGAAAGCAACATCTGAAGCTCACCCCGATTACCCATGAGGCCGCGGATATTCCACTGTAAATAGGCCATGATTGGCGATGAAGAAAAAAAAATACCAGGAATCCGTAGGGAAAGGCACCTACGGACTAGAGGGGTTAGAAAAGTCAATGTGTGGTGGCATTGGAAGACGTTCAACAGCGAAGGAACGGAGCGTTGCGAAGAATGGAGTTGTGAAGATGGAGGAGAGGGAAGAGAAGGAACAGGAAGTGAATCAGTGTCCATTGTAGGTTTAGTCTCTGCAATATATTCTGAAATGGCTTCAAGTGTTTCTGAATTCAAAGATGTATGGGAGACCATATTGGAGATAGAAGGGGGAGGGTGAGTAAAGACTGGGACAGTAATGGACTGTACCAAAGTAGAGGGGGAGGAAAGAGTGTAAGGGACTGTAGATGAAGAGGCAGAAACCTGGGAGGTGGCAGAAGAGGGAGAAACTTGGGAGGGGACGGGGGTGGAAGGCATAGTACGAGGAGGAGGGGTGAATCTCCACACTTGTAATAGAGCCAGAGAGAGGGGGAAAGAACTAGGCACAGAGACTGGAAAGGTAAAGTGTGGAGGTGGAAGAAGGGAAGGAAGGGGCAAAGAAGATTTGAGCAATGTGGATTTTTTGGACTTCTGAGAAGTAGAGGGGCGATTGGTATTAGGTGTCGTACGAGGTCTTGTCGATACTGGGGTTTGTGAGGAAGGACGCGAAGATGTAAAGAACAGACTGAGTTGTAGTCGGGACATCAGAGCCAAGGACAGCAAAAGGATTAGTTTGCCGGAGTGGCTCTGGGAGGGGTAACAACAGGGAGGCTGCAGAAGATGGGACCCAGAAGTGGGGGGATGTTTGAAACACGAGAATAAAAAACACGGGGTAGTCCCCCTTGGAGGCGGAGATGAGTAACTGCCATAGCTAAGGGAGACCTTCTCCCTCTTTGAGGCAACGGATTTCACGTTCATTTAAGTAGCCCTGGCAACGGCGGGAGTACGAAGGGTGAGCTTCATTACAATTAAAGCAAGATGGAGGTTTGGGACTGCAAGATTTTATTGAATGGTCGTCGGCACCACAGATGGGCATTCGGCCATAGATCTGCAATTTTTCGCTGGGTGACCAAAACGCCAGCAATTTCTCACGGGTTGCGGTGTAGGTATCACCTTTCGAACTTGTAACCGATGTCCCGCGACATATACAGAGGACGGGAGTTCTCGGCTGTCAAAAGTTAAATGAGCCACATTACAAGGGTAACCTCTCCGCCCACGGGCAGGAAGGACATAAGTGTCTACTTTGAGGATTGGGAGATCCTGGAGTTCCAGCTGTTCAAGAATGTCATTGCCACATGACTGGAAATTCTGTTGGACTATGGTATGGGGCAGAATGACAGTACCACTACAAGAATTGAGAGAAAGATGTTTTTCAATAGTGATAGGAGTAGTATCGATATTCGAAAGGAAAGAAAGATCATTAGCTCGAGAGTATGAAATGAAATATCTCTACCAACATGACGCAGGAGAGCTTTGCCAATACCATGGTCAGAAAGGTAGGCAGAAGAAGAATTCGGTCTTAAAGTAAAGAATTTAGTCCATTGTGTGGTTCGAAACTGAGCATGGAGAGGGAGTGCATGACGTGTCGGTCTTTTCCGAGTAGAATGGGAAGGTAACGAAGGAGCATCACCAGGAGATTGATGTTGGCGTTTAGGAGTAGGACCGGAGTTGGTCCGGTGTGAAATGGGCGGGCGATTCGAAAATTGCCGGACCCTAGAGGGAGAAGTCGGAAGCATAGTCAAAGGAGAGCGGAGTTCAGACAAATCGAAGGAGTCAGTTGAAGCCCCGGTACCTGAAGTGGGTGAGGAAACAGCACCAGCAAGAGGTACAGGGGCATCAGGAGTGTCCGAAGAGTGGTCAAAAAACAAGGCAGTTTCAGAATGGGGTGCGGTATCAGGAAGGGGCCCGGGGGTAGTGGGTTCATGGATTGGGATCTCCATGGTTAGGTTACTCCTTTGCTTTTTGTTTTTAAAAAAAAAAAAGAAAGAAAAGAAAATAAAAATAAAAAAAAGAATAAAAAAAGGGGGGAGCGGGGAGGAATAGTTCCTAGGAGGAATGAAAGGGCCGGAATCTCCTCCGCGCCCAAGAGGACCTCAACACCGCTAGTAGGGCAGATGCAGCATGGAACCGTGCATACCCTACCCCTTTATGCCAGTAAACCAGCAATCTGGGATAGCAACCTACATCTGCCCAGCTACCTCGGTGGACAAAAAGAGAGGGCGGCCGGATATCTGCCACAAAGCATACCCCCTTCGGCCACCACCCCCGGAAACTGAAAGGTGGCTTCCAGAGATACACCCCTCGCCCGGAAAAGACACCCAAAGCTACTCCGGGGTACCGGAGAGGGATCGGGACATCCCCAGGCGATCCAGATTCCACGGCAAACTACGCCACCGCCAAGAACCTCAACGGAATGGGATGGACCCCGGTATCCTTTCCCCTACCTAGGAACTAGCGCGCCTGTGGGAGAAATCCCAAAGGCCAAAAAGAGGAAGGGCAAAAGGGAGGGGTGAGGAGGAGGAGGAGGAAAGGAAAAAGGGGAGGATGGGATAGGGAGGGGGGGATTGGGGGGTAATTAGGTTCGGTCTGAGGAAGGAGCGACAGGTCTGATTCCTCAGACCAAGAGCCTCTTCACCACAGCAAGGAGCCCCCCTTGAAGAGGTGTAATAATATAATGTAACTATTATTTTGCAGAGCTGTATAATCCTTATGGGGTTAGAGCTTAATTATTATTATAATAATAATGTAACTTTCTTCTTCATGGGGAAGTCGAACAAAATTCTTCCTCCGTAAGCCATGCGTGTTGTAAGTGACAAAAATGTCGGGAGCAAGGGGCTAGTAACCCCATCTCCCGTATAAATTACTAAATTTAAAAAGAGAAACTTTCCTTTTTCTTTTTGGGCCACCCTGCCTTGGTGGGATACAGCCGGTTTGCTAAAAAAAAAAAAAAAAAAAAAAAAAAAAAAAAAAAAAAAAAAAAAAAAAAAAAAAAAAAAAAAAAAATTCTGAATCTGAACAGCACTGTATGACTGTGGGTTTAATGCTTCTTTTTGATTATAATAATAATCTGAATCTGAAAAAAATGGGTTAGTCTGTAATAAATGAAGCATTCTTTAAAAAAGATTGCATTTAATATTTATTATAGTTCTCAGTTCCATATACAGAATTTTCATATGTACAAAAAGATTACATAAATTGTACTTGTAGGCATGGATAAAAACTGATAACAAATACCCACTGTCCAGTAAAAAAAAAATCTTTCATACCCACGTAATTTTAAAAAATGCGAAAAAGCTCTATCAAAATAGTAATCTTTATCTAAACGTTTTTAGTTGGTAAATATGCATAACTACGTGCTACCCTAATAACAGATGTTATTTTGCTTCTTGCAAAAAAAATATGGCATGGATTTACATGACTAGGTGGAGAAAATTTGAAGGATAATTATTAATTAAATTGATCTAGGGAATGAATAATACCTTTCACCAGAGAAATTAAAAATTTTTCACTAAAAAAAAAAAAAAAAAAAAAAAAAAAAAAAAAAAAAAAAAAAAAAAAAAAAAAAAGCCCAGAAAGGCAGCACTAGTCTCCACCAATAAATGATGCACATCGTTTAAATCACAGATTCAAAACAAATTCAGTGTACATATAGTAAATTTTTGTTAAAGCATTTGAGAACAGCTTTTTCCGTTTATATTTACACGCCAGGAAAAATTTAAATGTCTAAATGTTTATATAATGTATATAAAAAATAAACTGAATTCTTTCATAGAACACAATATTGTATACTGAAAGTAAAAAATAAAAGTTCAAGATGAATCGTCCTAAAAAACATAAAAATGCAATATCAATGGAGAAAGAAAATGATTATAAACGACAATGAATGATTTTCAGGATGAAATGGGTTCTTTATATTATGCATCATGATAAAAAAGGAGGGAGAGAGAAGGTACGTAAGGATCAGGGTCATGTCGATACTTTGCATAGCCAGTTGAAAAGGAATTTCAGTCATTATTAGCTGGGACATTTAATGACCTTGTTGTTTGCAGAACTGGCTTCTGCTCTTCAAGATTAATGTCTTTATCAATATTCTTCACCTTTCCATCCTCCCAGAACTTATCTTCACAATTATCAAGCTGAGTTACTTTGTTACTTTTCTCTTCATTACTGTATTCTTGATTTCTGCCATTCTCAAAAATGTGAGTTGCAATCGGGCTGCCTTCCACAATATCCGTCTCTAACAACTTTTCATCAATGACTTGTATGTTGGTTTCAGATTCTGCTTCTAAAACATTCTTCTCCATTGTACTAGAACTTAAGGTAGGACTGCCATCTTCATGGCATTCTATAAGTATTGTTTTGGTAGTAGCACTATCAATCAGCAAAACTGATTTAGAATTATTATTACTACTATCAGGTTTGCTGTTTACGAAAGGATTTTCGGCATTCATTTTCTTTGACAAATGGCAGTAGCTGCTATCACTATCTAACAGTTCCAACTGCACATGCTCCTCTTCAATTTCAAGTTGCTTTGAAGAATCAATGTTTGTGTTTGTAGAAATTAAGTGGCTACTACTACCCTTGTCAGAAGTGTCTGAGTGAACAGAAGCACACTTGTTTTGTACATGTTCACACTTGTTCTGCAGGTGAAGTTGAGTATCACCATTGCATGCTTCACGAGGAGCACCCTCATCATTGACCTTTACCTTCTTAGAGATCATCTCACTTTTTGAAAAAGAATTCTTTCTCCTTGTCCCATGTTTGCCATTAGATTTACACTCCAAATCTTTTTTGAGTGGGCTACAGCGTTTGCCAGCATCAATTTCTGATTTCTGGAGTCCTGAAATTCTAATGTTATAAATGAAATCTTTTTGTTCTACACTCCGTCTTAATCTCTGTGGTCTTTCAAATCTTGCTTCCTCTGCGTCTTCATAAACCTGATTTCTGTTACTTGTTGATTCTGTTAAACCCCTGAGAAAATACTCTCTTATGTTTGTACTTTCTTTCGTATGTTTACATTCATTGACTGTCTCAATTTCACAATTTTTATTTTCACTTAAATAATTTCTTACATTTCTTACACTTGACTGCTCTAGATCAGCCACGTTTAAACTTTGTGAATTGAAGGGTTCGGTTGTATTAGTTTCTAAGAGTTTTCCATCAGTATTTTGTAATGAAAACTTAGCACTGTCCACTGAAGTGTCAAATTTAGTAAGATTTATAGATTCAATTTTAATCTTATCTTTATAGTCAGGGTCTTTTTCTTTGTCTTGTACATCTGATAGTTTAACATTATCTGAAGATTCTTCTGTTGTAATGTTATCCTTAGAAACTTCATTTTCATCTTTGGTTGACGTTGCTTGTATGTCATTAGAAATATCTTTGGCATCTGACATATTTACAGATTCTTTAATTACAACAGTTTGCCTAATGTCTACTGAGTTTCCCTCACCTTTTTCTTTTGAATTCTTAATATCATTAAAGTGGCCAGTAGAGATTTTGTCTGAAGAAGCTGAAGTACTTCTCGAACGTGATGCATGACTGTCTAACTCATCTATATCTGAAGAAACTGAGGTGTCATCCTCACTAGCTAAAAAATACCTTAAGGGGCCAAAACTTTCATCATCTATTATCATGGTTCCAGCATTATGTTCATTAGCTTTATGATCACTAATACAGTGACGAACAGTCTCATACTTGTGGTAGCTTCTGAACTTACATTGTTTACATGCAAACCGTGTCCAACTGAAGTGTTGAGAGGCATGGCGTTTTAGTGTTGTGATTGTTTGATAACGTTTCTCACATGGAATACACGTTAGACGTGTCATGTTGCAGAATTCACTCATCATCATTTCAATTTTTCGTTGGTTTTCTTTTTCTTGCTCTTTAGGAATTTCAGGAACCTTAAATGTTTTCTGATTCTGTGGACTTTCTTCACGATTAGTTTTGTTAGGGCTGTGAGGAATCATAGTTTTCTTGTAATCCTTTCGTATTTGTATGGCTATCTTTTTCTCAGGAGTTTCAGAGCGCAGCCGAGGATTGAGAGGATTTTCTGGAAGAATGTCAGGTCGCATTTGTAACAGAGAGCAGAACTTATCATGTGATATCAAAGCTGATGCTGTCATGAACTTTCGGTCACATTTCACACAACGATGCTCCGGGGAACACCCACTCCGTAAATCATCTCTCTGAAATAAACAAAACTATCAATCATCTCTGAAACAAAGCTATCAATCATCTCTCTGAAACAAGGCAGCTATCAATCATCTCTGAAACAAAGCTATCAATCATCTCTCTGAAACAAGGTGGCTATCAATCATCTCTGAAACAAAGCTATCAATCATATCTGTGAAACAAACTGTGTGCTGTAATTTTTTTTTTGTGTGTGTGGGGGGGGGGGGCACTATTTCTTGGAACAGTACTCATGTTCAAAGACTTTTCTTCTTTATTTTAAACCACAGTTCACTGTGACATTATTAAAATTAGTATATACAGTATTAAAAGGAAACAGTATTACACAAGTGACAGGTCACCAGGAAAGCACCAACAATTTTAATTAGCATACATCATACTTCGCAATATGAACAGGTAAAAATTACAGGAGAAATATAAAAATACAAAATGATTGTAATGTAAAGTTTAAACATGTCTCCATGTACAGTACAAATGTATTTCATAATTTATTTACAATGCAGTATAATTCATAATGCAGTATGGCAATAGTATACACTAAATTATTAAATTCTTTCAGTAATCATAAACTATATAGAAAATTTTAAACATTATCTTTATTCTCATCTTGCTTATCATATGCCACATGATACAACAACCCTAAAGCAACCTAGATTATATAAACACTTACGTACATGTATACATTATCAGAGTAGCACATTTATCAGTGTAGATCATAATCATAGCTCAGATCACCAAATGTTGTCGGATCATGCATTACTGAAGCTTCGTCAAATGTAGTCCCGCCGTGAGTTGTGCTGAGATGGTCAGAACTCTCAGTCTCCAGCAACCTCAGATCCAGAATATTTTGTGTGGAAGATGATGGCTTATACAATGACTCGCTACAAACAGTTGAAATACTTTGGCTTTCTTCTTGCCTGGAGAATGAGGGTAAGTCTTTGCTAATAGATTCTTTGTGTAATTCAATATCTTTTGGTACAATCTTTCTTCTTGTATTATCAAGAGAAGAAATGTCACGTACTTCATTAGTGATACTGGCTTTCTTTTCATTTAAATATCCTTCCTTCATTTTCTTGCCTGTCACTTTGTATTGTACAGGAAAGCCAGAAAAAAATTCCCCTTGCATTTTTAGATCTGTGTTTTCCAATGTTCCAGGAAGTTGTGATTCCTTTTGAGCTTCATCTACTCTGCTAATGCCAGATCTGTCAGTTTGTGATACTTTCTTAGAAATAACTGTTGCCTTAGTAGTCATTACTAGTTTCCACAGTTCTTTATTTTTATCTTTCCTCCTCCAGCGCCACTGTGGGCTTGTGGGAAGGTGGGTCCAATCATCTCTCATTTTCTTGAGTACGCTTTCTTCTGAGGCTTCATCTTCACTGAAATATGAATAAAGTTTGTTTTCAGAAGTGGCATTGTCATACTTGTTTTCAATATCATTATCTTCAGTTTCATCTGGAGGCTTGAATTCTTGTACAAAAGCTTCATTACATACTGATGTTTGCTGTGTATCAATTTGCTGTCCTATATACCTTGACTTCTTTGTCATATTCATATCTGATAATTGACTTTCTGCCTTCAAATTGTAATAACCACCTTCAACACACTCATGCTCTCTCACTCTCTTTTTAAATCTTGACTGTGCTGATGCAGTTGTAAGGCATCTCTTTGCATTCAGTTTTGATGTGTCATCACTTTCATTTGTGTTCGAATTAACATGGGAAATAGTTTTTGCATTTAAACTAAGTTTGCTGGAAGTTGCACTTTCTACAGTAATGTGTTTTTCAGAATTCATTTCCAGTTCTTTGTTGAGATCAAACTCTTGCGTTAAACACTGACTTGTGTGACTATCATTAAGATGACTTGCCGCTTCTGCACAAGATTCCACATTATTGTGGTCATTTCTTTGGTTATTCTGTTTCTCTGTAAACTTTGTTGACAATGGGTCATCACCTCTATATGTTTGCACATTAGGCAGGCTCCTTACAGGATATGATGATTTTGACTCTGAGAGCATAAACTTATCTTTGAGGTTATAATCTGATTTGCTTGGCTGTATTTGGGAAGTAGAATGCTTCCCAAACTCCTTAACAGATTGATTAACAACTTTTAAGACTTCCATTTGCAACATCTCATATTTTTCTTTAGCTTTAACTTCTATGTTTAGTGCATCAAAGCCTTCAAATTCTAATTTAAGCTTACCTTCACTAGTTCTTTTGCTCCCTTTTGGCTTCAGATTTTCCATACCACAAGCGGAACTTTCTGTTTTTTTGCATTCTATTTCAAAGCTCTCTGTGATTTTTTCTGCTCCGTGTTTCAAACATCCTGCATTATCTTCACTGCTGACTGTGTTACTAGCAGGTGTGTCAGGATTTTGAGAAGTCTCAGACAGCACTATAGTATCTCCAGTCCTGTTGTGTTCAATACACACCGACATGCATTTTAATGTATCTGAAACATCACTACAATTGTCCAATGTTGCTACAAAATCTTCAGACCATTTGCTAGAAGTGGACAGTAATGTATTTTGAGAATCAGGTATTATATTATCTTTATCAGAGATTTCATCTTTTTTTTCTAAATCTGTTAGCCTGCTTTCACTTATTTTTTTATTTGTCATAAAACAGGCATACTCTTCATCTTCATTTCCATGAATGTTAAGGATTTTGCTAGTTGGATATTCACTGGGGATCTTGGGTCTACATTCTACCTTATCAGAAACATCGTGACTTAAATTAATTTCCACATCTCTCATTTTCACTGGCTGGTTATTGGCTTCCATGTTTGTTTTTCCTAAAGTTACAGATACAGCAGATCTTGGCTGTATAACTGCAGGAGTACACACTTTTGCTTGATTTAAAGGAGGAAGAACAGTCTTTGGAGGAGTTGCAGGCACAACTGTGGTTATGGCACGAGTTGAGGAAATAGTAGATGGTGTAACTTTATTTGCACATTGATCAGTAACTCTTTGATGGGCAAGAGATGCTGAACTAGTGTTAGTTTTGGGCTGGGTAACTGTTGTAGTGGTACTTTTACATAGGGATGTAGATGCAACTGTAGTTCCGGGAGAAGTAGCAGATCCAACTTTAGCCTCAAGCTGGGTCACAGATTCGGTGATTTTTACAGGCTGAAAAGATGCAGTGACAGGTCTTGGCTGGGTTACTGGTGCACTGAAACTTCTGGCTTGGATCACAGATGTAATGTTAGTTTTAGCCTGAGTAAGAGATGCAGTGGTAGTAATAGGCTGATTCTCAGATACCACAGTATTTCTGAGCTCAGTAGCAGATTCAATGGTAGTTGTTGGTTGGGACTCAGATGCAATAGCAGCTCTGGGCAGCACTACATTGTTTATCTTGGACTGGGATGTAGCTACAGTGACAGTTGTAGTTCCCGGTTGAAGTGTAGATGTAATGGTAGCAGTGGGCTGAGTTGCTGATGCAATATTAGTGCTGGAATGGGTCAAAGATGAAACGATAGCTCTAGAATCAGCCAATGATATGATGGAGGTTATTGGATGGGTCAGTGATGTTGTCAAATTTGTTGGATGGGACAACGATATAATGGAAGTGATTGGTTTGGTTACTGTTGTAGTGGTAGTTTTTGGCTGAGTCACAATTGTAGTGACTGTTCTAGGCTGGGTCCCACATGTAGTAATTGTTTTAGACTGGGTTACACATGTAGTGGTAGTTCTAGGTGGGGTCACACTTTTAGTGATAGTTCTGGGTTGGGTCACAGATACAGTGGTGGTTCTGGGTTGGGTCACATACACAGTGGCAGTTCTATGCTGGGTCAGAGATGTATTTCTAGGTGGGGTTATACATGCAGTGGTACTTTTGGGCTGGGGTATAGGTGTAGTGGCAGCAGTTGTAGATTGTGCTGATGCAGTGAGAGTTCTGACCTGGATACCAGACCCAGAAAGAGTTTTGGGCTGTGAAACAGAGGCAACACCAATTTTGGGTTGTGTCATGACACATCCAGCCATTGTTTGTGAGGTTGTGGTAATTCTAGTCTCAGTATTAGTGGCAGTGATACCTTTTGGTGGAGACAAGGCAGAAGATCCAACCTTTTGTTGAGTTACACTGGTGTTAATAGGTTTTGTGTGCATAACCGTTAATATGGTTGCTTGAAGTTCAGGTTCAGCTTCTAGAGTACCAGTACAAGCCAAAGATGGCAAACCGGCAGAAATCTTTGTGTCTGCCACCTGCATTTGGGGAATTTTGTGGTTCTGAGTATACAGCGCAGAAGTATTTGTCTGATACGGTACATGTGCGTTAATACCAGCATTGGGCACAGTAAAAGATGAAGATAGACAACTACTTTGGGTAGTGACTACAGCTGTTTCAGTTGATGAACAAGAAAGCAATGCAGATGTGCATGGCACTACTGAATCTAAAGGCAGGTCTTGTTCCAGTGTTGAAACAACAGACTCAACATTCGTCAATGTTAAACTTTTCAGGGATGCTTCTGATTTTAGACAGTGTGTTTCATGAGCATTAATTTTTGTCAATATTTCTGAGGCTGTTGAAACATGAGGCAAATGCAGATCAGATGATAATTCTTCTGAAGTCTGAGGCAAAATTGGCAAGGATACAAATGCTGCTGAAGATTTTGGAGATGTAGCATTGGATGTGGATACAGATAAAATATTTGGCTGGATTGCAGAGAGAGGAGAATCTGACTGGGTTACAGGAGGCAATGTTTCAGAATGAATTACAGACATTCCCATAGATTTTGATTTAGTTAAAGAAACTGAATAAGTTTTTGGTTTTAATGCAAATGTTGCAGGTTTAGTTTGGTTTAATAATGAAGATTCTGAAGTCTTTTCTAGCTCACTGGGAGAACTCTCATAAATTTCATTATTAGATAAATTCTTTATAGGTGATTTCAAGTCTCTGCATGCAGCAGGTGGTTCTGCAGAGATGTTTGCATAAATACTCTCCTCGGAACATTTAGGACGTACTAATCTTTCGGTATTATGCCCACCACCTGGGTGTTTGGGTATATATTGTGCATCAGTAGTTTCTTCTAAGTCTCCTTTGTACTGCCTTACAGACTTCTCTGAAAAACTTTCCTGCTGAGAATGTTCTGAACAAGTTTCTTCTATATCCCCCAGTTGGTAAATAGCAATCTTTTCACTAGCCTCCTGTGGCAGAGAAATATTTATATTTTCATGTTTTGTAGTTTCAGACAAAAGTCTGTAAGTGTTCTGGTCTTGCTTGTCTAAATTCTTGTAATCATTGTCATCTGCTTTACTTTCACAACAGACAGTGACACCACGATCTGATCTTTTATTATCTTTAGAATCCCTGACCAATTCTTTATACGTCTCACTCTCTTTCACTGTAATGTAATCTATATTGAAAAATTTTCTTTTACATTTACTTTTTCCCTTAAATGCTCTTCCTTGACCTGCATTTCTGTATTTATAATTCCATCTAATATTATTTTGTCTACTAAATCCTTGTCAGTTACCAATATCTGTTCTGTTCTCATTATTTCTTGCTTAGGATTAGTCTCTCTCTCTTCAGATTTTTCTTGCTTCAGTTCTGTGACAAGGTCTAATGCAGGAGAAGCACTGCTGTTGGAAGACAGTCTCTTCTCTTTGTTGTCCTCCAACGAGCTAAGCTGCTTTCTCATGCCCAAGGTCTGTGATGTCAACCCTCTATTCAATAAAGTTTCTTTATTAGCTTGATATGAATCATCTACACTAGATTCAGATTTAATTTCCATCTTTACTGCAGACTCTTTGTCTACATCCATTTCTTCAGAAGACATCAGCACAGTTTGGAATTTCTCATTCTCATCTTCAGATTCATCTTTAGAAAAAATTAAATGGTTCATTGGCTCATTTTCCTCTTTCCCACCCTCAGACTCGGAAGGGGTAGTACTTCGACTCCACTCTTCTTCAAACAAATGAAGTTGTGTTGCCGTTTTGTGCACATCTTCTTCTGGCTGAGCTTCCCAACTAGATTTAACAAATGACACATCTGAACACCTATCGTCAGGGTAAGGAATAGTTACAAAGTTTAGCGATGGCTTGAACAAGCATTCTAAATCTTCATCTATGTCCTCGGAGAGGATAATATTTCCTGATGATACCCTAGTTGGAGTTGCCAACTGAATACTTGGCAACTCTTCCACTGGTGTTGTTACTTTTGAGCTTTCTGGACCACATTCCTTTTCACGTTTATTATTGCCTAATTCTTTACTATCTAGAGCTTCATTTTTCCTCAAAGTTAACGTCTTGCGTATAATACTTTTAGAATCTGTTACTTTAACACCGTCTTTAATATGGGATACAGGGTTAAATTTTTCTTTCTCAGCCTGAGAGAGATAAGAAAGGCTGAATTTCATGTCACATTTAGGTTTTTCATCATCAGAAAAATGTTCTTGGTTTTCACTACGCTCACTAAACACAAAATCACTTGACCTTTCATGGCTACCACTATCAGTATACTGTCCAGCCCTTTCCAATACTGGTTCCTCTATAGCAATCCTCTGGACACTTTTCCTGTTTTTTCTTTTACTTTTAAACTCTTTTTCTTTAATCACTATCTCTTTTAATTCTTCCACGTCATCAGAAACATTGTCACTTGTCTCATGGAAGAAATCTATCCCGTAGTTTCCACAAATGCTTCTTCTGTTCCTTAAACGTGCTCCAGTTTCAACGTTGACTAGTACAGCTTTGGGCTCAAAGTTGCAAATGATGTGAGTCGCAACATGGGCTAAACTCGCTGCTCTCGTTATGAACATCTTGTGACACACATTACACATCCAACGCACACCCTCTTTGGATCTCCACCCCTACGGAAAAAAAGAGAAAAAGGTGCTTCTAGTTTGTTGTATGCCGTACACAGGCAAAATAATTTCTTTAAATATATTTAGCAATAAATAGTTTTATATCTTTGTTAAAGAAAAACATGTCTAAGAAATCTCCTATCATCCTGAACTGAACACATGTAATACACAGCAAACTGCTGATGGCTTGAGAGTTACCAGCAGAAGGAACATACTATTCCTTACAACAGGAAAAAAGAAAAAAAGTCCAATTGGTAAATCATTTAATAATATTAATTCTTGATTTTACTTTGACAGTAAAGAGGAATGAGCACCCTTTTCTCTTCTTTTCTAAGAGGTTAAAATTCAGTGGGCAGAAAAAAGCCCATCTGAAGGTAACTCCGTAGATCCACCGCAGTACATTCACAAACCACTAATGAATAAGTAATCTACGTTTCTACAGTTCATAAACCAAATAAAGCTACCAACTTTTTTTCTACATTAATGTTCACTCTCACAATCTCAACAGGAAAGCACAACATAAATAATTTATAGGCAGGCTGTACCAGTTGTACCAACTAAAGGTTGCAAAAGTGATAGGCATTACAAAAGTACTGTACATGCTAATTTTTTAAATGGGTTTTGAGTGTTCCTACTCCTGCAGCCTAGCCCTGGACCAGGCTTGTCTGGTGCTTGCCTGGGTATCTCTTGCCTAAGTATCTCTTATCCACAACATACTCAGATTGGAAATGGAAGCTAGACAATGTCTCAAGTCTGCCCTAGAGCATTATGAATTTGTCCATATCCTCGTCCAAACAGTGGATTAGTTGTGAACTGTTCCAGTTGTGGATTGGTATTTATTCTTCCAAGTAATAAACACTCCATTGAATTGAATGGGACTGCAATTTATCGGACTTTGGAGATAAGGATAAAATCCGCTGGGTCATTTGATTCCGAAACAACAGACAAAGTTCAGTTGTTAAAGAATTTGACAATATGACTTACTGATAGCAGCCACCCTCACAACCCCCGTTAGTTTGTTGAGTCTGTTTATCTTGGACTTAACCCCCTTAAATGTTGTTGCAGATTTTCCTTCCAGTGTTGTGTTGTGTAGTACACAGTGCCCTTATACCCACAAACCAATACAGAGCCCGAGGAACCCAGAATTTTTCAGCTGACTGTTTTACAATTCTTCTTGATAGCAGTAGTGTGGTGGGGATATAATAAGCCACTTGACCATTTTTGTTTTGCTTCCAACAAACTGGCCATCTCCCACTGAGGCAGGGTGACCCAAAACAGAAGAAGCACTTCACCATCACTGTCTTGCAGAGGAGCACTAATACTACAGTTCAAAACTGCAAATATCCCCATTTGTGAAGCCACTCACAATTGTGCTTATCGCAGCCTTCAACTTTTAGTTCTTGGTGAAAATACAGTGGGCCCCCGGTTTACGATCAGCTCCCAATTATGTAAGTGTGTTTATGTAAGCCCATTTGTATGTGTATGTTTGGGGGTCTGAAATGGACTAATCTAATTCACAATATTCCTTATGGGAACAAATTCGTTCAGTAATGGCACCTGAACATACGTCTGGAATGAAATAATATCGTAAGCCGGGGGTCCACTGTACTTCGCCTATTCCCTTTTAATTCTATCAGAAAGAGGAACACTCCATGTACTGCTGATAAAATCCTTCAAATAAAACATTATCAACTTCTTTGTTAAGAGCCCCATGTAAAGTTTTTTACACTTAGCAATGGCTTTTCCATCATCAGTATTAGAATAATAGTATATTAATATTTTTTAATCTTTAATCACAGTTGATTTTCTTAAATAAACACTTTCTTACAGGAGTGTAGGCCACCAAAAAATTAAATAACTAAAAAGACATACTTTAAAAAAATACTGAAAACTTACCATTTTATGATGTGATGAAGTTTGACAAACTGAAGCTTAATACAACTTGGTGTATTATACAAACTTATTTACGTATGTATATCCTTCTCCCCCTTCCAATTAAACCTACACTTTTACAATACCTTTTATTCTGAGCACCTCTGCAAAAACAGTGATTATGTATGAGTGAGGTGAAAGTGTTGAATGATCGTGAAAGTATTTTCTTTTTGGGGATTTTCTTTCTTTTTGGGTCACCCAGCATCGGTGGGGAACGGCTGACTTGTTGGGGGGGAAAAAAATAATAAAAAAAATAAATATATATATATATACAGTGGACACCCGCATAATGATATTATTTCAATCCAGAAGTCTGTTTGGGTGCCGTTATAGACCGAATTTGTTCCCATGAGAAATATTGTGAATTAGATTAGTCCATTTCAGACCCCCAAAAATACACCTACAAAAGCACTTACAAAAATACACTTACATAATTGGTCGAGTTGGGAGCTGATCGTTATGCGGGGGTCCACTGTATATACACCTACCATCCGACTTACGACCGAGTTCGGTTCCGAGAAACTGGTCGTAAGTCGAAATGGTCATAAGTCGAACTTTACTACTGAATATCAACAAAACATTTTTGTAATGACTTTATTTTATTGTTTTATTTTGGTATTTCATGTTTTACTTTACTTTTTATGTTGTTAGTACTGTATTTTATACTGTAAGGTTTAGGATAAACACTGTGTACAACACGAACACTTGTTTATTTTCCACAAATTTGGCAAAAAAAAAAAAAAAACATGGTCGTAAGTCAAGTGGTCGTAAGTCGAGCAGGTCGTAAGTCGGATGGTAGGTGTGTGTGTGTGTGTGTGTGTTGTGTGAGATATATTATATATATATATATATATTATATATATATATATATATATATATTATATATATATATATATATATATATAATATATATATAAAATATATATTATATATATATATATATATATATTATACAGTGGACCCCCGCATAACGGACGCCTTGCAACCACGGACAATCCGCATAGCGGACGCTTTGATCGCTAAAATTTTGCCCCACATAGCGCCCAAAAACCCGCTCAGCGGCCTTCGTCCGAGACGCGTCCAATGTGCGGCCTGAGCCACGCTCACATGTTCCGCGGGTGGCATTGTTTCCCAGCCAGCCTCCGCGGTAACATCCAAGCATACAATCGGAACATTTTGTATTATTACAGTGTTTTTGGTGATTTTTTTCTGGAAAATAAGTGACCATGGGCCCCAAGAAAGCTTCTAGTGCAACCCTACAGCAATAAGGGTGAGAATTACTATGGAGATGAAGAAAAAGATCATTGATAAGTATGAAAGGGGAAAGTGCGTGTCTCCGAGCTGGCCAGGTTGTATAATAAACCCCAATCAACCATCGCTACTATTGGTGGTACAGCTGCTGCTGCTGCTGTATCAACCGTCAGCTGCTGCTGCACTGTCAGCTGCTGCTGCTGTACCACCGTCAGCTGCTCTGCTGCTGTAGTACCGTCTGCTGCTGCTGTAGCATCATCTGCTGCTGCTGTAGCATCGTCTGCTGCTGCTGTAGCATCGTCTGTTGCTGCTGTAGCATTGTCTGTTGCTGCTGTACCCCCGTCAGCTGCTGCTGCTGCTGTAGCATCGTCTGCTGCTGCTGCTGCTGTAGCATCATCTGCTGCTGCTGTAACATCGTCAGTTGCTGCTGTAGCATCGTCTGCTGCTGCTGTAGAAATTGTCTGTTGCTGCTGTAGCATCGTCTGCTGCTGCTGCTGCTGTAGCATCGTCTGCTGCTGCTGTAACATCGTCAGCTGCTGCTGCTGCTGCTGTAGCCCGTTGTTGGTGTGGCTTATTGAGAATACCAAGAAACAATTAACCCCAGAGGATTTGCCACCAGGATAGCCCAAAAAAGTCAGTGTCATCGAAGACTGTCTAACTTATTTCCATTGGGTCCTTAATCTTGTCTCCCAGGATGCAACCCACACCAGTCGACTAACACCCAGGTGAACAGGGAAAATGCCTGGAACTAGTGCTCATATTGGTGAATTTAGAGCAGCAAAGGTTGGTTTGAGAGATTTAAGAATCGTAGTGACATACACAGTGTGATAAGGCCTGTTCTGGAAGAAAAATACCAAACGGACCTACAGTACTCAGGAGGAAAAGGCACTCCCAGGACACAGTGTCTCATCAGTCATTGCTGCATCTTCAATAAAGGTAAGTGTCATTTATTCTTCATTTAGTAGAGTAGTACATGCACAATATATATTGTGCATGTACTACTCTACTATTGTGCATGTATCCTTCTCTTTGTGTGTAGGAAAATGTATATTTCACGTGGTAAAATTTTTTTTTTCAAATTTTTGGGTGTCTTGCACGGATTAATTTGATTTCCATTATTCTTATGGGGAAATTTCCCATTCACTAGCGAACATTTCGCATAAGACCCAGCCCTCTTGCACGGATTAAGGTCGCTATGCGGGGGGGTCCACTGTATATTATATATATATATATATTATATATATATATATATATTTATATATATTATTATTATATATATATTATATATATTATATATATATATATATATATATTATATATATAATATTATATATTATATATATTAGGTAGTAGGTTGGTAGACAGCAACCGCCAGGGAGGTACTACCGTCCTGCCAAAGTGAGGGTAAAACGAAGCCTGTAATTGTTTTACATGATGGTAGGATTGCTGGTGTCCTTTTTTCTGTCTCTGAACATGCAAGATTTCAGGTACGTCTTGCTACTTCTACTTACACTTAGGTCACACTACAATACATGTACAAGCACATATATAACACCCCTCTGGGTTTTTCTTCTATTTTCTTTTTAGTTCTTATTCTTGTTTATTTTCTCTTATCTCCATGGGGGAAATGGAACAGATTCTTCCTCCGTAAGCCATGCGTGTTGTAAGAGGGACTAAAAAGCCGGGAGCAAGGGGCAGTAACCTCTTCTCCTGTATATATTACTAAATGTAAAAAGGAGAAACTTTCGTTTTTCCTTTTGGGCCACCCGCCTCGGTGGGTTTCGGCCGGGTGTGTTGAAAGAAAGAAAGATATATATATATAT